TGGTAGGGCGCCATTTTTTGGGACCTTAGCACCGAGAATCAACATAATTGTTGAATCCGCATAATCCTGAACCCTGTCAGAACACCATTTCTGGTACGCTGACGATGGGAATCCGTGAACCGCCTGCAATTGTTTCAAACGAATGTGCGCGGCGCTAAGGCGATAGCTATATTCTGAAAAGGAACCGCCCTCAATCCGGGAAGCTCTTGCACATTTCTAAAACAAGTGTGCGCTGCGCTAAGGCGAGAGCCACATTCTGAAAACGGCCCGCCCTCAATCCGTGAAACTCTTGCAAATGTCTAAAACCAATGTGCGCGGCTTTCAGGCGAGAGCCACATTTCTAAAACAACCCGCCCTCAATCCGTGAATCTCTTCCACTTTGTTTGAACGAGTGTGTGCGGCACTCAGGCGAGAGCCACATTTTGAAAACGACCCGCCCTCAATATGAGAAGCTGCTGCCATTTTTCAAATTTCAGCGACATAAATGGTGAGGAAGTCTCAGGCGAAACGCCCAGCCCGCACTAAAAACTGGCCTCATGGTGCGACAGGGAGAAGTTATCTACAAGGAGAAGGAATGGAGGAGGAGGAGGAACAGGAGGAGGAGAATGAGGAGAAGGACAAGGAGTAGGGGGATGAGGATGAGGGAGGGGGTGAGGATGATAATGAGGATGCTGATGAAGATGAAGAAGATTATGATACTGTTGATGATGCTTATGAGCATGATGATGGTGATGGTAATGGTGATGATGGTGATGAAGATCATGATGATGCTGCTGATGATGATTGTGTTTGTGATGCTGATGATGCTGATGATGAGGATTGTAATGACTATCATGCTGCTGATGATGATTCAGATGATTGTAATGATGATGAATATGATGATGCTGATGTTGCCGATGATAATGCTGATTATGCTGCTGAGGCTGATGACGCTTTTTATTATGATGAGGAGGAGGGAGAGGAGGAAAAGGAGGAGGAGGAGTGGGAGGAGGAGTATGATGATGAGGAGGAGGAGGAGATGGAGAAGGAGTTGGAGGACGAATAGTATTAAGAGAAGGAGGAGGAGGACAAGGACGAGGACGGGGAGAAGAAGGATGAGGAGGAGGTTGAGGAGCAGGAGGTGGAGGATAAGTATCAGGAGGGGGAAGACGAGGAAGAAGAGGAGGAGGAGGAGGAGGAGGAGGAGGAGCACGAGAACGAGGAGGAGGGAGGAGGAGGAGGAGGAGAGGAGGAGGAGGAGGAGGAGGAGGAGTAGGAGGAGCAGAGAGCAGGAGAAGGAGGAGAAGGAGGAGAGAGGAGGAGGAGGAGGAGGAGAGAGGAGGAGGAGGAGGAGGAGGAGGAGGAGGAGGAGGAGGAGGAGGAGGAGGAGGAGCAGGGGGAGCAGGAGAAGGAGGAGAAGGAGGAGAGGGAGGAGGAGGAGAATAGGAGGAGGAGGAGGAGGAGGAGGAGGAGGAGGTGCAGTTGGAGGAGGAGGAGGAGGAGGAGGACGAGGAGGAGGACGAGGATGAGGATGATGATGGATATGATGATGAGGAGGCGGAAGGAGCAGAAGGAGCGGAGGAGGAGGAGGAGGAGGAGGAGGAGGAGGAGGAGGAGGCCCCCCCGTCCCTTCTCCCATCCTGCCCGAGTCGCTCTCGCGACATTTGTGGGCGGGCCGCTGGCGGCACGCATGGATTCGGAGGCAACGACTAGGGGGGGGCCTGAGCCACAGGGGGACGCATCGGCCCCCAATGGCCCATTCCTCGCCCGTCGGAGCCCGGCGCTTAAACCTGCCCCAGGAGCGTGCGGATTTGCTGTCGGGGCCCATCGCTGTTGTATCGGCGAGTCCAGGTCAGTGTCCCCCCACCTGAGCCAGTTTCCATCTCTCGGCCCCCTCATGCATCGTTCCGGGAGCGAGATCTGAAGTCTCAGCGGCGCGATTTCTGGGTGTGATCATCTCGTTGGAGAGTGTTTCGTTGAGGGGACCGTCGATGACCCTGGTCACCGGGCCCCGTTCCCACCCCCTCCCCCCTTCCCCCCGCAGTTCACCTAACTGTGTCGTTGGTGCAGTACAGGTCCAGCGGGCGGTTCCCAGCTCCGTGCCCCATGGCAGCTCTTTTTGTTGGAGCGCGTGCGGCAGCCAGAATGGCCAGGCCAACCTACTTGGATGCGGAAATGCGGCCTAACAGTTTTAACGCCGTTTTCGTTTCGCTAGTCTTTTCCTTGTCTTTGATCGCCTGTTTTGTGTTGGTTCCGTTTGTGCGGGGCTAGCTTTGGCGCTTGGCTTCGGTTGCCGTGGAGGAAAAAAAAATGGCCAGGCCAACCCCGATGACCCGGGCTAAATCATCCTGTCCGGTTTGTCGCAACAGGTCCTACGTGCCCCCCGTCGCGAGGACTTCTGAGGTCGAAAGCTCGCGGGCGGGACACCAGTGTTCAACGCCACGTACCGTCGACGCGCACCAGTGGCCAGGAGAGCCCCGCGCCCGTCGAGTTATCAAGCGGCCTCTCCAGGAGAGGATCTCGGCTGCAGAGCTGCTCGGGCACCCGTGGACAGGAGACAGCGCTTTTCTCGCGCCCCTGGCGGCGGCGCGCCCATGGAGTCGCCTCCTGGCCGCTTGGCTGGCAGAGCTCGGGCCTCTGAGTCGCCCTTTCTGCAAAGCCCTGCATCTGGACAGTCCCGCCTGCTTCCCTCCATTCCCAATTGCCTCTGCCACGCACGTCCTTGGCCGAGGAGGAGAAGAGGAGGAGGAGGAGGAGGAGGAGGAGGAGGAGGAGGAAGAAGAAGGGAAGAAGAGGAGGATGAGGAGGGGGAGGAGGAGGAGGAGGAGGAGGAGAGGAGGAGAGAGAAAGAACAAGGGCAAGAAGAGGAGGATAAGGAGGGGGAGGGGGAGGAGGAGGAGGAGGAGGAGGAGAAGGAGGAGGACGAGATGGATGAGGAGGAGGAGGAGGAGGAGGAAGAGGAGGAGGAGGAGGAGGAAGAGGAGGAGGAGAAGGAGGAGGGGGGATGCCCGACTGCATTTGCCACGCACGTCCCAGGGCCCCTCGCGTCGTGCCACTGCCCGGGCTCTCAGCAGTGTTCGGTTTCTGCCAGGCCCTGCTGGGCCCCGGGACCGTGTGGAAACGACTCGGGGCAAGAGCCTGGGCCCGTAGAGAGGGATCGAGGCCCCGGGCGGGTCCACTTGCGTGAGTCACGACGCCGCGTGCCTTGGTTCCCGTGCTCCCTCTCTCCCCCTCCCCCCCTCGCGCAATAGGTTGCTGCTTCTCCAGCCACCGGAGTCCAAGCCTTTCGAGTGGGGCCCGTGAGGCCGCAGGGTCGCGCCGAATCGCCGATGCATCGGCGACGAGGTGCGGGCTCCAGGGTAGGGGGCAACAGGTGGCAACAGTGGGTCCCAAGGAGTGGGGACGGGTGTGGGCGATTGGGGCGGGAGGGCGAGGATATGATGAGAGGAGAAGAGATGGGAGAGGGGGGGCAGGGAGAGGACAAGGCGGGGGGAAGAGGGATGAAGTGGGAGAGGGGGGAGGGATTGAGAGGGATTGAGACGGGGGAGGGTGGAGTTCTGAGGGAAAGGGGGAGTGATGTGGGAGGGAGTGAGGAGTGAGGGCGGGAGTGAGGAGGGGAGGGAAGGAAAGGGGGGAAAGGAGGGGGAGGGCAAGGGAAGGGAGGAGAGCGGAGGGGGGTGGGGGGGGCTGTCTGAGCCAGCAGAAAAGCGGCTGCCAGTGGGCCATGCGATGCCGAGGGACACGTCGTGCCTGGCAGAGGTGCTCCGGAACGTGGAGCGGTTCAGGTTCGAAGGGCGAATGGCATTGATCCGAACGTTTTATTTTTGTTTACGATTTGAAGGATCGCACGCACAACGTAAGGCCACCCTAGAGCAGGCAGCGGACGGTCTGTCTGTCTATCTGTCTGGCTGGCTGGCTGGCTGGCTGGCTGGCTGGCTGTCTGTCTGTGTGTCTGTGTGTCTGTCTGTCTGTCTGTGTGTCTGTGTGTCTGTCTGTCTGTCTGTCTGTCTGTCTGTCTGTCTGTCTGTCTGTCTGTCTGTCTGTCTGTCTGTCTGTCTGTCTGTCTGTCTGTCTATGTGTCTGTCTGTCTGTGTGTCTGTCTGTCTGTTCGTGTGTGTGTGTGTGTCTGTCTGTCTGTCTGTCTGTCTGTCTGTCTGTCGGTCGGTCGGTCGGTGTGTCTGTCTGTCTGTCTGTCTGTCTGTCTGTCTGTCTGTCTGTCTGTCTGTCTGTCTGTCTGTCTGACGGTCTGTCTGTCTGTCTGTCTGTCTGTCTGTCTGTCTCTCTCTCCCTTTCTCTCTCTATCGATATAAAAATGTGTATATCCCTGCCTCTCTGCATCTCTACATCTATATCTGTCCCTCTTTATCTGCGTCTCTTTCTCTCATTATCTCGCTCTCTCTCTCTCTCTCTCTCTTTCTTCTGTCAGGGTTCATCCCTACACCCTTCTCTTCCATGTTTCCTGTTCCAGGGCCCCCTCTTCCCTATTCCGCTCCACTCCCCTCCGGTCCTCCTTGCCTCATTCTCATCGTTCCTAGCATGCCCTCCCCTTCTCTTCCCTCCCCTGTCACTCTCCTTCCCCGCGCTGATCGTGGGGACCTTTTGGTGGTTGATTTGCACGTCCTTCAGCTTCGACGCAAATCTTCTGCAAGGTGTATCGTAGTTGTCCAAGCTGCGTGGCTCCGCCATGCGACGCGGTACCAAGTCGTTTCGATGGATTCACATCAGGTGCCCCCCCCCCCCCGCCACGCACACACACACACACACGCACCACACTTTTTCCAGCTTCCCATAGTGCAACCCATTGCGTACACTCCGTCCTGCTGGCCTTCCGAGTGTCTTCTGTTTTCGTTGCCGCTTCCTTCTGATCGACGTGCTCAATCCTCCGCTTGCTGCACACGTTCTTGATGGATGCCCCTTGGGCCTGCGCAAACTCTGCGATCCTCCTCCTCTTCCTCGTCGGACCGTCTTCGGCACGATTCCCTGCTCTCGCATTTCAGCGGCGAGCCCGTGGGGAAAGTGAGAAGGGGCGGGCCTTCGCAGAAGGGTCGGATGCCCTCCGGCCTACTGAGAAGCTTTCTGAGCCTGCCTCGAAGACACAGGAGGCCTCTCTGACGGCGCGAGGGCTTCTGAGAAGTCCCGCCGCCTTCTGAGAAGGCCTTCTCCTTTCACTTCCCCCCCTCGCTCGCAGTCGAGCTACTTCTGCTCTCCTCGTTCTCCAACCCGCTCAGCCTCGATTGACTCTGGACTTGTCTGGGCATCTTTCCGGGCTCTTCCCAGCCCTTGCTAGTTCCCCTCCAGTTTGTCCAGCATTGACTCAGGAGGGGAAAGACATACAGACACATATCGATTCGCTTGGAAATCGCGAACATATCGGAAACGACGGGGAAGACAACCATCTGGAATATAATTAATATTTACCATCTGGGGATTCGTGCCTATTTATTTGTCTGTCCCTGGGCCCATTTACTGGCAAACTCACCCCGATTCATTGGGGCTCGTTCGAGCTTCTGCCAGTTCTTCTGGCTACTTCACCCTTCATTTAGGGCATGTCCCTCTACAGGAGGAACATCCAATAATAGTGACAAGAAAGTATGGGGGCGATGCTTCGATTATGTTTTACTTTTTTACCTAACAGCTTTTGCTGATAGGTTTCTAGTGGTGTCAAAAGAGAGCAGCAGATGACTCCACAGGGGGGTCGGGGCGGGACCCGGGGAGCTGAGTCCGAACTCGTGTCCGAATGCGTTTTTCGCAAACAGTCACACACTTCGTGCTCTTCGACCTCCCAGAACTCCATTCCCGGGCCACATTCTGAATGCCCGGAGCCAACTGTAGGCCACTTCGTGCTCTTCGACTTCCCAGAACTCCATTCCCGGGCCACATTTTGGAATGCCTGGAGCCAACTGTAGGCCACTTCGTGCTCTTCGAGTTCCCAGAACTCCATTCCGGGCACATTTTGAATGCCCGGAGCCAACTGTAGGCCACTTCGTGCTTCGATTCCCAGAACTCCATCCCGGAGCCAACTGTAGGCCACTTCGTGCTCTTCATTCCCAGAACTCCATTCCTGGGCCACATTTTGAATGCCCGGAGCCAACTGTAGGCCACTTCGTGCTCTTCGACTTCCCAGAACTCCATTCCTGGGCCACATTTGAATGCTGAGGCAGGCTGATGCTGCCGCGAGGCAGGCTGAGGCTGAGGCAGGCTGAGGCTGAGGCCGAGGCTGAAGGCAGACTGAGGCTGAGGCTGATGCAGACTGAGGCTGAGGCTGAGGCAGGCTGAGGCTGAGGCTGAAGCAGGCTGATGCAGAGGCAGGCTGAGGCTGAGGCTGAGGCTGATGCAGGCTGAGGCTGAGGCAGGCTGAGGCTGAGGCCGAGGCTGAAGGCAGACTGAGGCTGAGGCTGAAGCAGGCGGAGGCTTAGGCTGAGGCAGGCTGAGGCTGAGGCAGGCTGAGGCTGAGGCTGAGGCAGGCTGAGGCTGAGGCTGTGACTGCGACTGCCGTTGCCGCTGCGACTGTCATCAAGAATGCGACTACGACTGCGAGAACAGCAGAATTCTACAACTGGATTTTCATCTGAATCTTCAGGGGAATGCTTTCAGATATGCTTCTACACATCGCTGTTAGGTTGCTTTGCCGGGATAATTTGAATATTGTTTGACTGTATGTTTAATATTTGTGTTTCCAAAATCCGCCAGTAGGAGAACATGCCCGACCTATGCCTTCATGGAATTTCCAGCGCCCACTTTGGTCCAGCCTCTCTCCGTAAGCCAACACGGGGTCGGGGGGTCGACCGCGACCGGCAGGAACAGGACCAAGGGAAGCTCACCATGGGGCGCGTGAGAATGGACAGCGTGAGAATTTTGGCGTTAAGAAGGAAGGGGGGGAATGAGGATGAGGACGAGGAGGAGGAGGAGGATGAGGAGGAGGAGGAGGAGGAGGAGGAGGAGGAGGAGGGGGAAGAGGAGGAGGAGGAGGACAAGGAAGAAGAGGAGGAGGAAGAAGAGGAGGAGGAAGAGGAGGAGGAGGAGGAGGAGGAGGAGGAGGACGAGGAGGATGAGGAGGAGGAGGAGGAGGGAGGAGGAGGACGAGGAGGAGGAGGAGGAGGAGGAGGAGAAGGAGGAGGAGGAGCAGCATGGTGCCCGCGACAAATAGCCGCCCCCGAGCCACGCCTCGGACATCCTGTTCTTCTGCACCGCGTCCCTGGAGATCGGGCGCCGCCAACTCCGCGCCGGCGCCTCTCCGGGCTGGGCCCTCCCTGGGCCCTGGAGATTGGTGCACCGGTTGGCGTGTCCAGGAGGGTGCGTGCCCCGAGGGAGGGAAGGCTGCACAGCCAGGACGCCGAAGCACCGGAGCAGCTCGGGTGCGAGGGTGCCCGCTGTTCCTCGGGTCCTTCCAGGGTCGTTCTTCCTTCCAGGGCTTCTCGTGCACCCAGGCGTTTTGGGGGGCCAGGCATCGGGAGGGGAAAAGCCACACAGGCACAATACATCGTCGATATTCAGGAAAACATGGGAACATACAGGAAGTGTGGGGGGGGGGAAGACGAAAGCCCAGAACAAATATAGAAAGCATTTGGTTTTCCTGGGATTTGTGTGTATTTGTGTGTGTGTGTCCTTGGGCCCTTTCAAAGAAGGGGCTTCGTTCCTTCTTAAGCGAGCTTGACCGTGTTAACATACGCTTTCGGAGGTCCGCATCGGGGCCCAAGAAGTCCGTGCAGACCTCCGGAGGTTCGTGTCGATGCAGTTGTTTGTCCCGCTTGGGCTCTGCGGGCGGTGCCTGCAGCTGGCACGAGGATCAAAAGCAACCCTTGCTTTGGCGAGGGTCCCTTTCGTTCTTCATGTCTGGGCTCTCCACCTTGGAATGTTGTCTCCATGAGGCCTTGAGCCCTCGACGAATTGGGGTCATGCTCTTGACCCACGTTTGTGTGGCCATTCTTCCACCGTGCACCAATCCTGGACCCAGGGCAGGCCTGGCCATTCGCGGTGCCGGTGTGCAGGCGGCGGCACCCTCAGGCGAGACAGCTGGACCACCGAAGCCTCACCAAGATCTACCGGGCTTTCAGCTGGCTGGACTGGCGCCCGGCTCGCCAGACGTGGGGGAGTCTTGTGATCACAGCAGCACGAGACGCTAGGCGTGGACGCTCGACGTAGACGCAGACGCCAGGCACAGGCGCTAGACGGAGACGCGATACGCAGGGGCGACGCTAGACGTCGACGTGAGAGTGGTGGGGGGCGCTGCATGATTAGTCAGAGTGAGGGGGCCGAACGGTCATTCACTGTCCCTGGGTGCGTGGCTGATGTGGAATTCCGCGGTGCGGATTCTTGTTGTTGTTGTTTGTTGTTGTTGTTGTTTGTTGTCGTCGTCCCACCCGCAACCCGCCCCGCGACCCACCCGCGACCCACCCCGCGACCCACCCCGCGACCCACCCGCGACCCACCCGCGACCCACCCGCGACCCACCCCGCGACCCACCCCGCGACCCACCCCGCGACCCACCCCGCGACCCAACCCGCGACCCACCCCGCGACCCCCCCGCGGCCCACCCCGCGACCCACCCGCGACCCACCCGCGACCCACCCGCGACCCACCCGCGACCCACCCGCGACCTACCCCGCGACCCACCCGCGACCCACCTTCGACCCAAACCACGTTCAAGGTACAAACCACAATTTTCGGCGCCTGCGGCGGGTTTTTTTGCATTCCTTCCAAGTGGAGAGCCCGCGACACATCCCGTGACCAACTCGCGACCAACCCGCGACCCAAACCACGTTCAGGGTACAAACCACATGTTTCGGCGCCTGCGGCGGGCATATTTTGCATTCGTTTCAGGTGGAGAGCCCGCGGCCCACCCGCGACCACGTTCAGGGTACAAACCACATTTTCGGCGCCTGCGGCGGGCATCCTTTGCATTCGTTCCCTGTGGAGAACCCGCGGCCCACCCGCGACCCAAACCTCGTTCCGTGTACGAACCAATTTTTTTGGCGCTTGCGGCGGGCTGCTTTTGCATTCCTTCCAGGTGGAGGTGGAGAGCCCGCGACCCACCCGCGACCTAAACCACGTTCACTGAACAAACCAATGCCGCACAAGCGCGGCGGCGGATTCTTGCATGCCGTCTGAGCCCGCAAGGACCTCTTCACGCCCCGCACATCCACGCCAGCCCGTCCAGCAACTTTGCCCTGGCGAGTTGCCTTGATCAGAGAAGGCGGGGAGCATAAAGTGGAAAAAAGGATTGCGTTGCAGTTATCTTGGGAAAGGAGGGGGAGGCAGGATGAGTAAACAGGGGACGAGGATAACGTGGAAGAAGAGAGGATGTAAGGAGAACGTGGAGAAAGAAAAGGAGGAGGAGCAGGAGGACGAGGGGGAGGAGGGGGAGGAGGGGGAGGAGGAGGACGAGGAGGGGGAGGATGGGGAGGATGATGATGATGGGCGACAATGGGAGGACGATGATGGAGGCCGATGAGGGGGAGGACGACAATGGGAGGACCATGATGAAAAGACGAGGGGGGGAGAGGGAGGACGAGGAAGAAGAGGAGGAGGAGGAGGAGGAGGACGAGGTGGAGGAGGAGGATGACGATGACGATGAGGACGAGGAAGAGGAGGAGGAGAAGGAGGAGGAAGAGGAGGAGGAGGAGGAGGTGGAGGAGAGCGCCATCGACAAGGAAGGTGGGGGCCACGAGGTCCGCCGGCTCGACGACGCCCGCGTCGCCCGCGCCCGCCCCCTCACTCTTATCCGCAATTGCGGGGTGTTACGTATTCTCTTCCAGGGTCCAGAGCCTACTTTCCAATTCGGTGCTTGCGCTCGAGGGGTGCTCGCTTGGGTTGTGGAGGGCTGGCCCTGGGCGGCGAGGTCGGACTGTTGCTTCTCTATCGCCGATCGATCCAACCCTGGGTTCCTCCTCCTCCTCCTCGTTCCTTCTCTTTCGCCTCCCTTCTACTTTCTTCTCCCCCTCCCCTCTTACCGCTCCCCTCTCACGCCTCCCCTCTCCCCCCTCCCAGCACCCAGCTTCAGCTTCAGCGCCGCTCCAACCCGCACGGTGTTTGAGCTCGGGGCACGGTGCTCGAATTCGGGGGATCGGGCTGGTTTCGGGCGGGGGTCCAGGTGAGACGACGGAGATGAAGAGCGCTATCAGAACGGCACTCTCAGCAGTTTGTTTTTGTCGCAGCGTGTGCGGCCACGTCCCAGAGTTGGGTACGCATGGCCACGCGATTGAATATTTCCGCGGTCGGACGGCAAGTCACGCGTGGCAGAGCACTCTCGGCATAACGCAGCAAACTCTCGGTGGCGGAGGGAGGTGTTTGCACCTTTCGGAGGGCGAGACTGTAGGTCGCTTTGCATCTTCTGGGGACCTTACCCGTCCTGTCAAATTCGGTGTATCCGCCTCGGGTTCGACGCGCATTCGACGCGGCTTCGGCGTTGGTTCGACGCAGATCCGACGCGATTTCACGTGGATCCGATGCGGATTCGATGCGAATAGCTACGCAATGGGACAGACAAGGTTCCCGAAGATGCAAGTCAACGATGGAGCAGCGCCCTGGCCGATTACCTTGGAAACCCATGCCAAGCAACGACCTCCTTGCCTCCAGGGTGCCCTTGGTTTCTTGGGGTTCGATGCTTTCGCAATGGAAGGCGTGGCGTTCCCACACCAACAGTCAGTGGACGTCCTGGCCTCTCAGGGTTGGGGTTCCTATGGGGAGGTTCTCGTAAACTGGCCTCCAACGCAGTGGTCCAGGACTGCTGGCGGGCGCGGTCGTCTCCGAGGTTATTGGGGCGTTTGCCGCCCTGTGGGCCCCGCGCGGCTCCCTGGGGTCGTAGAGGGTTGTTGGCCGCCCCGGCGGGAGAGGCCTGTTTTGCCGATCGGCGAGGCCCCCACCACCCCCATCTCGGGCCGGGCGAAAGGGGGGGATTGGGAAAAGGGGGGTTACGAAATTTGCTGCATGCAGCTGATTTCGGCCTCACCGAGGGGCCCATTCCTCGATACATGGGCGCCTCCCAGCGCCGGGAGGCGCCGGGAAAATCAGCTACGTGAGCTGATTCTCAAACCCCCCCTTTGCTATCCCCCCCTTCGCCCGACCCGACCATCCCCCCCCCTGGAGTGGATCTTGGCTGTTTTTTGGCGCCTGTTTCGAGCAGGTGGAGCCTCCCCCATAATGGACGCCCTGCTGCAAACAGCCGCACGAAGCAGAGGTCCAGAGCCCTCCCCCCCCCCCCATCCCCCCCGCTTCCGCACAGTGTCGAAACGCCGAATAAGAAAACGCTCACTTAGTGGAGTCCCCGTTAGTCGGAGCTTGATAGACCTACCCTGACACGTCGATTAATGAATTGGCCGTTTTCGGTTCGCGAGAGGCATCGCGGCCGTTATTTGTGCGGGTCCAGTTCTGTCGGTTTCGGCCCTAGGCCGTTTTCACTAAAGGAGGTTTATGAATTGGAGGCTTCTCCACCGCCGAGTTAGAGGGGCGCTGACCGACGTGCGCCCGCGGGGATCCTCGCCGCCTCCTCGGGGGCCCGGTCTGCTGTCTCCTCTCCCGCGCCCTTGTCCCTAGGGGGCGGTGCCCGTGGGCCGGGCCACGGCCTCCAGGGAGGCCGAGAGGCACGCATAAGCCAGAGGGTTCGTGCCGCGTCGACGCGGCGACGACCCAGCGCGGGCGCTCATCCGAGGCGTGAATTTATCAGAGTGAGGGGGCTGAACCGAACGGTCATTCACTGTCCCTGGGTGCGGGGCTGAAGTGGAGTTCCGCGATGCGGGTTCTTGTTGTTGTTTGTTGTTTGTTGTTGTCGTCGTCCAACCCGCGACCCGCCCCGCGACCCACCCGCGACCCACCCCGCGACCCACCCGCGACCCACCCGCGACCCACCCGCGATTGTCCCCTCGACCGACCCCGCGACCCCCCTGGCGACCCACCCGCGACCCACCCGCGACCCACCCCGCGACCCCCCTGGCGACCCACCCGCGACCCACTCGCGACCCACCCCGCGACCCACCCGCGACCCACCCCAGGTGGAGAACCTGGAACCCACCCGCGACCCAAACCGCGACCGCGACCCACTCGCGACCCACCGCGACCCACCCGTGACCCACCCGCGACCCACCCTGCGACCCACCCAAAATTATTGGCGCCTGCGGCGGGCTTGCTCCAATCCGCGTTCAGTGTACACATCAAAATTTCCGGCGCCTTCCAGGTGGAGGTGGAGAGCCCGTGACCCACCCGCGACCCAAACTACATTCACTGAACAAGCCAACAATTCGGCGCTTGCGGCGGGTTGTTTTTGCATTCGTTCCAGGTGGCCCACCAGCGATCCCCCCCGCGCTGAACTTGCCAGACCACGCAAATCGGCGCCTGCGGCGGGCTTGCTCGCATTGGTTTGGGGAAGCGCCCTCGTGCCATTCCCCCGATCCAGCCCACGCTGACTCTACAACAGCACATCGGCGCCTACGGCGGGGCTGGAGGAGGGGGAGGAGGAGATAAAGGAGGGAGGACCGAGGGGGAGGAGGAGGAGGAGGACGACGACGACGACGGAAAGGAGGAGTGGGGAGGATCGGGATGGGGGAGAAAGAGGAGGAGGAGGAGGAGGAGGAGGAGAGAGAGGAGGAGGAGGAGGAGGAGGAGGAGGAGGAGGAGGAGGAGGAGGAGAGGAGGAGGAGGAGGAGGAGGAGGAGGAGGAGGAGGAGGAGGAGGAGGAGAGGGAGGAAAAAGGAGGAAGAGGAGGAGGAGGAGGAGGAGGAGGAGGAGGAGGTGGATGAGGAGAGGCGGACGACGACGACGACGACGATGAGGACGAGGACGCGGACGAGGAAGAGGAGGAGGAGGAGGAGGAGGAGGAGGAGGAGGAGGAGCAGGAGCAGAAGGAGGAGGAGGAGGAGGAGGATGAGGAGGGCGCCATCGATAGGGAAGGTGAGGGCCACGAGGTCCGCCGGCTCAACGCCCGCGTCGCCCGCGCCCGCCCCCTCACTCTTATCTGCAATTGCGGGGTGCTACGTACATGACCACCGCCTGGAGGGTCAATTTTCGGAGCCTCGGCAGGCGGTGGATATGGACATATTCGGGCCCCTGGGGGGCGAAATATATCCATATCCATCGCCCGCTGGGGCACCAGAACCTCGGTTCCCCGGCGGTGAATATGGATAAATTCCCGCCCTGCAGTTCAAGGAGGAACCCAGACCCCCTCACGCAGCGACGGAAAACACGACGTTTTTTTTTGTGATTGTTTCGACATTTGCGGCCGCCGGGGGCCCTCACCGGGCCTCGGGGTCGACGTTGTGAAAAAATCATGACGTCGAGGGTCTGGTAATACCGCCAGTGGCCCAGAATCGTCGAACATCGAGCGATGTGGCGACCGAGAAGCCGCGTCAGATACCAATGGGGTCGTCACGGCACGCTTCTGTCGTCCCGGACATGCGACGTTCTGTTTTTTCCACAGGCCCCTCCCCCCGGGCGACCCGACCACTACACTGGGCAGGTTTTTCTTGTCTGGGGGCCCAGCGAGGGCCCCTGGATACCGCAAACAATAGCCTCCCGACGTGATCCTAGTTCGGACGGGGCCAGGACGAGGATAAAGCCGTTCTCAGAGCGCTCCGGGCTGCTCTCAGAGCGTTCCGGCTCCGAGAAGGCCGCGGCGCCCGAGACGTCCTCGATGTATATCCGAACCCGATGTGATTTTCGTCTTGGCTTCGTCTCACGTCGTGATCTTCTCAACGACGCGGGCATGACTGGGGTAGCAGCTGGCCGTCGCGAGTTTGTTCCGCGCCCGAAACAAGATGACAACAGGGAAGAGGACCTCCCCCCTCCGAGGACGCGGACGGCGACGGGCGGCTCGCGCTGCCGGAGTTCGCCAACGGCTTCCGGGAGGCGCGCCCCTTGGGGGGGGGGCGTTCCACGGAGGGAGCAGCACGGCGTGCCAGGCTCCGAGGAAGGGTGGGGAGCAGGAGTCGGCGCGAGCGAGGGGGGGAAGTGAGAAGGAGAAGGCCCTCCAGGTATCTTTGAACACGGGTGTTGCAAAATTTTGTGTGTGTGTGTGTGTGTGTGAATTTTGTATGTTTTCGGGGCACCCCATTTTGAGATTCATACGACACGTAACGCGTTTGCAGGATTTCGGCATGCGCGCGCGACGACGCGCGCGTGCGCACTTCGTCCCACTTTTGAAAGGGATCCTTGCGCCAGCACGCGGGCAAGGGGCGTTCGAGCGATTCCAGCATGCGCGGGCGAGAGGCCCGCTTGGTAGCAAGTTATACAGATGTTGAAGAACCGATGGTTTTATTACTCATTGGTCCGAAAGATACCCGTACCCGGGGCCAGCCTAGGTGAGACGGGCCGTCCGGGGGACTGGGCGCTTGCTATTGTGCCCGGTCAGCTTGCCCCGCGCGCGCCAGTGCAGCATCCGCGCGTCAAGACGCAACGGCGCGCTCGATGGTTGGGTGTCTGATTGCAGCGACAAGCGCTGGTTTTTGTTAGGGACGTCTCGGGGCATCGTGGTGCGCGCGCGGTTCAAAGCCGCCCATATGTGGCGGCGCCTGTCCCAATCGATAAAGAGTTGCATTTCCTCGTTATCCTGGCAACCAATGCGTCTGGGCCTGCCCTGAGGAACGACGTTGCAATGTCGCGCCCCCAGGGGGCCGCAGCGGCCACGTCGGGGACGGCTGTGGAGGGCATGATATGTGCTCGAGAGCGTTTTGGGCCTGCCGCCACCTCGGCTAGGTACGGGGACCTGCCTGAAACCACCGAAACATACCCGGACCTGGCTGGGGCGAGCTGCGGCACCCCGGCAAGGTACGGGTATGTTTTTTGGTTTTCATGGGGCAACCGTACCTAGCTGGGGTGATCCGCAGACGGCCGTCCAAGGGGGGCGGCCTCTGGCGACCTCGCCCAAGGCACAGATTCGCGATGTCTCTGCACCGAGCAATTCGCGGTAGGGCGGTTGTCGCGCAATGACGTTCGCGCCAGAGCTTCTCGCATGCGCCCCCGAGTGCGCGTTGACTCCTCAACGCCTGGATGTGTGTCCGGGGGCGCGCCTCCGCAGTAGCTGGCCTACAGCGACAACAACCAACGCAGGGTCGGGCACTCCGCCGATTCGAACGCACGTGCGATCGGTGCTAACGTGCGCCCCGAGAAGACAGCGGTCTGTAATGCTCGATCGGCTGTCGTTTCTACACTTGTGCAGCCGCCGTCAGCTGCGACGAACCGCCCCCCCGGCCCCTTGCCACCCTGTCTAGGTAAGGGTACGGGTATTTTTCGCGCTCGAGACTTACGACTTGCCCGAGCGCAATTCGTATTGCGAAACCATATTTTTTTGAATGTTTCGGGGACATTGGACATTGACATTCCTACGAAACGTAAGGTTTTTGACCGGTTTGGGCACGCGCGCGCGACGACGCGCGCGTGCACACTTCGTCCCATTGTTGCTTGAAGGGATTCTTGATCACATCTGATTTGCGATAAACGATTGCGCGCGCATAGTATTTGTGGACGAGGATGAGGGGGCTGCCGATACCGGCCTGTCTGGGATGGTACGAACTCATGTTTAGGATGGGCGATGGGCCAGAATGAAACGTAAATTGCTATACGAAAGAGGAGGCATTTATTCCAAGGGGGTGGGGTAGATACTCCCATTCTTCCAGAAAAGGAGAATGTGTGCGATTCGATTTATATTCTGCAAACCATGTTGTGCGACCTATGTGGAAGAGTCTGTGTGGTGCAATATCTAATGGCCTCCAGCCCATCCCGCCACCGTGCCTGGCTTGTGGGTACGCAGTTTACTCGATGTTCGTTGGGATCTCGTGGGAAGCATTTCGGGGGCCTCTTGGAGACAGTTTTGGAGCCTCTTGGGGGCCGTCTTGGGCCTTCTTGAGGCAGTTGTTGAGCCTCTTGGGGGCCTCGTTCAGCCTCTTGGGTCCCTCTTGGGGTGCTCTTTGCGCCTCTTGGGGCTTCCTGGGGTCCTCTTGGAGCGGATGGCTCGGATGTTCTGTTTGTGTTCCCTCTATTGGGCTTCTTTTGGGGACCATCTTGGGGCCTATTGGGCCGTCTTGGGCGCCTCTTGGGCCGTCTTGGGGCACTCGTCGGTTTTTTGGGCTGCCTTGGGGCGGTCTCGGGGTCCTCTTGTGACCTCCTGGGAGGCCTCCTGGAGGCCCTTCGTGGCGTCTTGAAGGCCTCTTGTTGCGTCTTGGAGGCCTCTCGGGCCATCTTGAGGCCATCTTGGGGCCATTTTGGGCGTCGTGGGGCGATCTTTGGGAGTCTCGGGGCGTTCTGGGGCCGTCCTGGGGGCCTCTTTGGGTCCTCTTGGCACGCCTTGAGGGCCTCTTGGGCTTGAACAAGTCTTGCGGTGAGATGGAGGGGAGCCCAGGGGAACCGCGACGCGCCCAAGTTGATTTCGGAATTTGGGGTCTGGGCCCCGTAAGGACCCGTCAGGACTGAGAACTGGGGCTCCAGGGTTTAGGCAAAGGACTCTGGGACAAGCCTACTCAGTGACCAGAGGCACGGTGGCGGGTACGTGGTGCGATTTCTGTTGTGCAGTCTAAGTTGTGCTATATGTGTTGTGCGATCTAGGTTGTGCAATACATGCAGTGGATCTTATGTAATGCAATATAGGTGGTGCGATCTACGTTGTGCAATCTATGTGCTGCAACATATGTGGCACCATCTACGTGGCGCAACATATGTAGTGCAATCTACGCGTGATCTACGTGGTGCAATCTATGTTTTGCAACCTATGTGGTGCCATCTATGTTGTGCGATCTATGTGGTGCAATCTTTACGGTGCAATCCATGTGGTGCAGTTTTGCGAGGCCGCGACGAAGCGGCGACGAGGTGGTGACGGGGACACCATGGCCGTCAGACAAAGAAACAGGTCCAGACAACGGGCGGCGACGAAGCGGCGACGGGGCGGCGACGGCGACAACATGTGCGCCAGACCGAGAACCAGGCCCAGACGACGGGCGGCGACGAGGTGGCGAAGGGGCGGCGACGGCGACTACATAGCCGCCAGACCGACAACCAGGCCCAGGCGACGGGCGACGACGAGGTGGCGACGGGGCGGCGACGGCTACAGCATAGCCGCCAGACCGACGACCAGGGCCAGTTCTTTTAGAGAGGAACTAAAAATCCCTGAGTGCAATCACTGTTTGGGGATACATTGCGTAAGCATGAACTTCTCGAGATCCGCGAGCATCTCCTGGATGAACATAAGTTGTCAGAGGTCCGCGCGGATTTCTTGGCCCGGTTTTAGGGCCCCCCTGGCAGCGCCTCGGGTTCCGGCCCTGGCGCGCTCCGCGTGCCAGGGAGGGAGGTTCAACGCCGAGCCAAGGAATCCGCGCGGATTTCCGAAAGTTTCTGTGTATGCTTTTGCTTATTCCGCGAAGAGAGCCTCCTCCCCTCCTGACTGTTTCGGGCCCTGGGACTCCTTTCCAGGAGAGACTCGCCCTGTTCCTGGTCCTGGGGCCCTCACGCATCGCTCCGGCTCGAGATGCGCTGCAGCAGCATGGGTTCAAGTGTTCTTGTCGCGGTGTTTCACGATGCTGCATGTTTTCCCGACGTCTTAGTCCGCTTAGGCTGTTTAGGTCGTCGACTCTAGTTTGCTGTTGTCAATTAGTAGGCCCGCGCCCTGGACTTACAACACGCCGTGTGCGCTTTCGCCCGCGGCCGCGAAAAAAAACAGTTTTCCCGATGTCGCATCCCCGGGTCCGTCCCCCCCTTTCCCTCCGCCCCTCCTCCTTCTGCGTCCTGCGCTGCGAGGTCTTTGGCGCCGACAGTGGGGAGTTCCGCGATGTGGAGAACGTGTTCGACAGGCCAGCATCGGATGGGGCGGGATGGGATCTAATTGTATGACGACAAATGCCTGCGTGGGCATACATTTCTGCGGAGGCCCGCGCGGATTTCTTGGACTGGCGCCAGGCATCTCTGGCGGCGCCTCAGGCGCCGCCCCGCGTGCTTCGCGCGCCAAGCAGGGGCTTCCTCGCCCAACCACAAGATCCGCGCTGACCTCGACAGTTGGTGGTCCTGTTGTCTCTGTAGCTCCCGAAGGGTGCTCCCCTGTGGGTCGACGACCGAAACGGAAGAGCGCCTCGCACACGCCGGCAGGGGCGGATGAGGCCTGGAAGGGGCCACGTGCCCCCAGCCGCAGAAACCCGCGCAGCCAAGGAGAGTCCCGTGGACAACATGGGGGGCGACAGGAAGGAGGGAGGGAGGAGCGACCGGGGAGTGGCAGGGAGGGATGTGATGATAGTCCTTGTCGCACGTCTCCTGCTGCCTGGATCAATCGCAGGCCCGCATGCGCCGTCCGTGGCCAGGCCGCGAGGAGCTCTCCGGGGGGGTGCGACTCGCGACCCGTGCCCCCCCCCCCTTCTCCGCGCCCGCTCCCCTGGGCGCAGCCGGTGAGGCCGAGGTGCCCTGCCCGTAAGCGGCGGCGACCTCCTACGCAGTACGTTTCCTCGATATCCATTCGCTGGAGCCTTCAGCCGCGCCGTGGAAGTCATGTTTCCTTCATGTGGGCCGCACCGGGACTGCCTTTGGCCCCTCCTCCTGCTCCTCCTCGCCCCTCCTCATTCTCCTCCCCCTCCTCGTCCATCTCGTCTGCCTCGTCAAGGGGCGAGCCCGGTCCACATCTGGTCCCACGTGTGCTGCAAGTCTGGTCGTCCGAACAAGGCCCAGAGCAGACAGCGCGAGGGCCACGCAGCCTCCCGTGGAGCTGACACCAACCGAACTCGGCGGTCCGCGCGAGTTCTTCCTCGGCTCGGCGCCGTGCCCCCGGCGCCGCACCGGGAGCGTTCCGCACGCCAGGAAGTCGGCACTCCGCATGTTTATGACGTGCTGCAAGACGTGTATGGGTCTGTATGCCGAAGGGTACGTCTTGATGCCGACTGCCTCTTCTCAGCGGCGAGCGAGGGGGGGAAGTGAGAAGGAGAAGGACTTCTCAGAATGCGACGGGACTTCTCAGGAGCCCTCGCGCCTTCCGAGAGGTCTCTTTTGTGTCTTCGGGGAATCACCACCCTCCAAACCACCCCAACCCAACCCGAAGGCCCAAATTTATCCTCGATTTCCAGTGGGGGGGGGGTCGGGGAACATTGAGAAAACACATGGAATCCGTACCCCCCCCCAACCCGAAATTCGGGTCAAATTCGGGTCTTCGGGTTGGGTTGGGGTGGTCTGGTAGGTAGTCAGGGAAGGCTTAGAACATTTTTCAGAAGCCCGGGGACTTCTGAGCCTTCTGAGAAGGCCCGCCCCTTCTCCTCCTCCTCCTCCTCCTCCTCCTCCTCCTCCTCCTCCTCCTCCTCCTCCTCCTCCCTCTCGCCTCCCCCCCGCCCTCCTCGCTCCCTGCCTCCCTGACTTCTGAAGCCCGGGGACTTCTGAGCCTTCTGAGAAGGCCCGCCCCTTCTCCTCCTCCTCCTCCTCCTCCTCCTCCTCCTCCTCCTCCTCCTCCTCCTCCGCCTCCTCCTCCTCCTCCCTCTCGCCTCCCCCCCGCCCTCCTCGCTCCCTGCCTCCCTGGTTTCTGAAGTCCGGGGACTTCTGAGCCTTCTGAGAAGGCCCGCCCCTTCCCACTTCCCTCCGGGCGCGCCGCCCACGATTGCCTCGTCTCCCACCCCCCGCGCGGCGCTTACGCGAGAGGGACTGGCAGCTCCTCCGGGGAGGCCGCTGCCGACCCCGTGCGCGGCGCAGTGCCACGGACTCCGCGGTGACGATTTCACGCCGGTCCCCACGAATCGGGGGAGAAAAAGATACAGATACGTGTTGTCCCCCTTCGTTTTCGGCCTTTCCTGGCCCTCCTGGGGAATCCTCGTTGTCACCGCTGGATTCGCCTCGAAATTCTGGTCAGAACGCACCCCGAGAGAGGTCCGGGGACAACACGTATCCGTATCTTTCCGCCCCCCAAACGAAGCATGCAGGCCCGTGAAAGCGCGCCTGGGGAGGACCCCGAAAGAGAGGGTCGCCTCGCGTATCTGCCAGGTGCTCGCGTTGGGGACCTTCCGGGGGGCCTCGTGCCTCTGGACGGATCCGTCTGGCTCCAGGTCGACTCGAGCTCGGCTCGAGTTCGAAGCAGGTTCGATCCCAGTCGACTGACGTTTGACGCAGCATCGACACACGATCAGAGCGAGCGGCTCCAGGACGGCCCCCGGAAAGAGCGTGGCGGCCTTTGCTGCTCCGCCCCCCCGTGGGGCGCAGGCGCTGCCCCAGAGGGTCGGCCCCAGAGGGTCGGGGCTCGAGGCGTTCCCGCCGCTGCGCCCCGCGCCCGCGCGCACCCCGGGGTACGATCGCGCCAGGGCGCTCTGGAACGCTCCGAGGAGGCCGCGGCGCAGCACCCCTCCACTTCCTCCTATTTCTCCTCCTCCTCCTCCTCCTCCTCCTCCTCCTCATCCTCCTATTCCCCCTCTTCCTCCTCCCCCGCCTCCTCGCCGGCTGCCCGCCGAGGTGCCGCGTGAGGCTCCTGCCCACCGCTTTAGGTTAATTCGTCTTTGCGCGGCCCGCTCTGACTCGACTCGCCGCTGGCGCTCTCGCCTGCGGCCGCTGACTAAAAAGAAGGCCGCGGCGCCCGACACATCCTCCAGAGCCGCCGGCTCTCAGACCTCCCCGGCTCATTCCGGTCCGACGTTGTCGTTCTCTCGGTTTCGTTTCGCCTGCGCTGCAGCTCGGCTGCTTGTTCGACGCAGCTCGCCGCATACCCCCAAAGTGAGTCTGGTGCTGCTTTGCCCAGAGGCTTCAGGAAGGTCTTCTCTGTGATTGGCTCATTGCCTGGCCTGCCAGCAGGAGGCCTTTGAGGCCGCCGTGCTGCCCATAATTAGGGCGCACGACATCCTCCGTCACCGTCGCATGGCAGCAAGCCTGCAGCATGCACAGCCATGACGGAGTCCCCCATAAAGCCCACGACGCACGATTGTCCTGGTAGGTGGCCAGCTCCTACAGGGACGCAGTCTTGGTGAGAACAAGACCGCGATTCATAGGCGACGGGGTCAGCGTCGAACGGCTTCAAGCTCGACGTTACCCTGCACTGGCTCCGGTCTTGGACGGGGACAATGTTCGGGGAAGGAGAAGCGACACCACGACACTACCTGCACCCGGAATCCCACCTCCAGCGAGGAGGTCCACGATGCCTCCCCGAACTGGGGACAGAGGATGTTTCGAGCGAGACGGGGGGGCCACACCACCAGGGGTCCTCCCCGGGCTCCTCCCGGTGGTGGTCCTTGGTGGTGGTGGTGGTGTGGCTTGTCCTTGCTCCTAGTACGGTGGGAGCGTTCGTGAAGGAATGTGCCCAAGAGGCTGCAGACCCTGGGGGATTCCTTGTCCAATGGGGGCGGCGGTGATATCCATGGCCGATCCACGGCTGGAGTTCCACTGGCTTCCAGACCCAGGGTTCCTTGTCCAATGCCCAGTGTCCCCACCATATGTGCAGCTGGACGTGGCTCAGCTCCAGAGCCACGCCAGCCGCGCCGCAGCGACCATTGCGAGGTCACCGCTTCCTTGGGGTGGGGGTGCGCCTGGGCGTCGCGAGAGCCATCGTCAAGCAGCAGCTTGAGCACATACTTCCTCCTCGTCCTCCCTGTCCTCCTCCCCCGCTCTCCTCGCGTCCTCACAGCAACGGCTTGAGGACATGGCTCCTCATCATTTTCTTCTCCTCCCCCGTCCCTCCCCTACCTGCTCCCTCCGACCCCTGCCTTCCCTCTGCCCCCCTTTATGTGCCTTCCTCCTGCTCTTCCGCCTCATCCCTTTCTTCCTGCCCCCTGCGTCCCTTCCTCCCGTCTTCTCCGTCCCTCCGTCTTGTCCCCCCCTACCCTCTTCCCTCTCCCTCATCCCGTTCTCTCCGGTGTGAATGCTACTCTCCTCCCTCTCTCTTGAGTCTGTCTGAGAGATCTCTGGCCCTCGTCCGCGAATTGTTTTGCACACCAGGTTGGGCAGTTTTTGTTGATCATACATGTTACCTAACAGCGAAGACTGATAGGTTTCTAATGGTCTCAAAAGAAAGCATTTTGACTCCTCAGGGGGGTCTGGGCAGATGCCGGACGGGTGCCGGGGAGAATCCGCGGAAGTCGTTTTAAGCAAGCGGTTACACACTTCGTGGTCTTCGAGGTCCCAGAACTCCATTCCTGGGCCACATTTTGAATGCCCGGAGCCAACTGTAGGCCACTTCGTGGTCTTCGAGTTCCCAGAACTCCATTCCCGGGCCACATTCTGAATGCCCGGAGCCAACTGTAGGCCACTTCGTGCTCTTCGAGTTCCCAGAACTCCACTCCCGGGCCACATTTTGAATGCCCGGAGCCAACTGTAGGCCACTTCGTGGTCTTCGAGTTCCTATAGAATTCCATTCCTGGGCATGATTTTGAATGCCGGGAGCCTACTGTAGGCCACTTCGTGTTCTTTCGAGCTCCCAGAATTCCATTCCCGGGCCACATTTTGAATGCTGAGGCAGGCTGATGCTGAGGCTGAGGCAGGCCGAAGCTGAGGCAGACTGAGGCTGAGGCTGAGGCCGAGGCTGAAGGCAGACTGAGGCTGAGGCCGAGGCTGAAGGCAGACTGAGGCTGAGGCTGAAACAGGCGGAGGCTGATGCTGAGGCAGGCTGAGGCTGAGGCTGAGGCTGATGCAGGCTGAGGCTGAGGCAGGCTGAGGCTGAGGCCGAGGCTGAAGGTCGACTGAGGCTGAGGTTGAAGCAGGCTGAGGCTGAGGCTGAGGCAGGCTAAGGCTGAGGCTGAGACAGGCTGATGCTGAGGCAGGCTGAGGCTGAGGCTGAGGCTGATGCAGGCTGAGGCTGCGGCAGGCTGAGGCTGAGGCCGAGGCTGAAGGCAGGCTGAGGCTGAGGCTGAAGCAGGCTGACTGAGGCAGAGGCAGGCTGAGGCTGAGGCTGAGGCATGCTGATGCTGAGGCAGGCTGAGGCTGAGGCTGAGGCTGATGCAGGCTGAGGCTGCGGCAGCCTGAGGCTGAGGCCGAGGCTGAAGGCAGACTGAGGCTGAGGCTGAGGCAGGCTGAGGCTGAGGCTGATGCAGGCTGAGGCTGAGGCAGCCTGAGGCTGAGGCCGAGGCTGAAGGTCGACTGAGGCTGAGGCTGAGGCAGGCTGAGGCTGAGGCTGAGGCAGGCTGAGGCCGAGGCTGAGGCAGGCTGATGCTGAGGCAGGCTGAGGCTGAGGCAGGCTGAGGCTGAGGCTGAGGCTGATGCAGGCTGAGGCTGAGGCAGGCTGAGGCTGAAGGCCGAGGCTGAATGCAGACTGATGCTGAGGCTGAAGCAGGCTGAGGCTGAGGCTGAGGCTGAGGCTGAGGCTGAGGCTGAGGCAGAGTGAGGCTGAGGCTGAGGCTGAGGCTGAGGCTGAGGCTGAGGCAGGCTGAGGCTGAGGCTGAGGCTGAGCAGGCTGAGGCTGAGGCAGGCTGAGGCTGAGGCCGAGGCTGAAGGCAGACTGAGGCTGAAGCAGGCTGAGGCTGAGGCTGAGGCAGGCTGATGAGGCTGAGGCAGGCTGATGCTGAGGCAGGCTGAGGCTGAGGCTGAGGCTGAGGCTGAGCAGCTGAGGCTGAGGCTGAGGCTGAGGCTGAGGCTGAGGCTGAGGCTGAGGCTGAGGCTGAAGGCTGATGCTGAGGCAGGCTGAGGCTGAGGCTGAGGCTGATGCAGGGGAGGCTGAGGCAGGCTGAGGCTGAGGCCGAGGCCAAGGCAGACTGAGGCTGAGGCTGAAGCAGGCTCAGGCTGAGGCTGAGGCAGGCTGAGAGGCTGAGGCTGAGGCTGAGGCTGAGGCTGAGGCAGGCTGAGGCTGAGGCTGTGACTGCGACTGCCGTTGCCACTGCGACTGTCATCGCGAATGCGACTACGACTGCGAGAACAGCAGAATTCTACAACTGGATTCTCATCTGAATCTTAAGGGGAATGCTTCCAGATATGCTCCTACACATCGATGTTAGGTTGCTTTGCCGGGATAGTTTTACAATCCGCATGCTTCCGGTGTTTCAACATGGAGTTCCGGCTTCAGCGTGGGCCTCCTTTTCGGATCGTCGCTTCGCTGCCGTCTTTCAGAATGGCGCTCCCGCCACAGCGGGGGCCACAGATCTGGATCCGAGTCCTTTTTCATCATTGTCGTTTCCTGCTCTTGCTGTCTGGCCCTGTTCATCCAGCTCCTCTCACTCCGTCCACTCCAGTTCCTGCTGCTGGTGTTCGTCCTCGTCCGCATCCTTCCTCATCATCCGCCTTTTCCTCCTGCTCCTCCGTCAGCCTGCTCAACCGCCAACTCCTCTTCTTCCTCCTCATCCTCCTCCTTCCATGTGCGCAAGTCCCTTGTTCCGATTACGCATAACATGACAGGGTCATTCTTAGAGTTCCAGATCGGCTACGACACGCCTTCGCGGACAAAGTTAACTTCAGCGCAATGGGAAGGAATGGGAGGGAGGGATTGGATGTCAGATATGGCGCGAGCGCACCGAGCCTGCCGGTTCGGTTCACATCCGGTTCGATTTGGTCATTCCCGCTAGGTTCTGGAATTCCAGCTTGGTACACAAACACACCTGTCGTGATATGTTTCACCACGCGAGGCGGCTTCGGGTTTCAATCCTCCCTTTGACCGGTCCTGGGAGGAGATTCGACCCGGTTGTGGCGACGAGATTTTCCCCAAAGCTACGGAGACGGCGCAAGATTGCCACAGACCTCGATCCTCGGACCTATAGGGGGCGGCCCGGCGAGGCTCGATTTCGAGCGGACGGGCTCCCTGAGCTACACTACGTTCTGCGCGGCGGGGATCTCGGAGGACCCCCGCGGGCGCCGGCTCGGACGCACAGGGGGGTGAGAAGCGACACCAGTTCCTACTCCTCCTCCTCCTCCTCCTCCTCCTCCTCCTCCTCCTCCTCCTCCTCCTCCCCATCATTCCTCTCCCTATGGCTTTCGTCTCCTCATCCTCCTCTCCCGATCGAGAATGTGGGGGTGGGGTGTACGAGACCAGCTGCACGCAGCCGGCTTCCGCCCCGCCGCTGGGCTGAAGAGGGTGGTGACGTGATGAAGGACCGGGTTCGGAAGCCTCGAGACGGGGGTCCATGCAAACGGGGGTCAGCCAGAGCGCCAGACCCTGCAGGATCCTGCGAAGAGCCCCTCTGGCTGACCCGGGTTAGCGAGCCGCTCGTGGCCGCGAGGTGGCCGTGCATATTGGCTGACCCGCAACTGCGTTGCAGTTTTTTTTTTTCCTGCATTGCATTTTTTGGCTTCCTGCTGACCCGGGCCTGGATTGACCCGGGTCAGAAGATCTCCGACGGGTCGGGTTCCGGAGGGGCTCTGGCGTTCGGGCCGCTCCTCAGATCCAGGGCCGGGTAACCCATTCGTTGCCGAGGCTCGCCGGGACCAGAGACGCGCCTTTGTCTTGTCGTTGGCGCTCCGCACGGTAGTATGATTGTTCTACCTGGTCGTCTCCAGCGCGAGGAGGCGCCAGGAAAAGCGGGTGCATATAGATGGTTCCTCACCCTCTTTTTTGCGATCCCCTGTGCCCTCCCCCCCTTTCATCCGCCCCGATGCTCGCAGGACCCGACCGCAGGAAGAGGAGGGGGCGGTTTCTTCAGTAGCTTGGCATCGGCGTCATTTTGTGTTCCTGCTGCGTCAGCTTGAGCTTTAGACCCGGAGGAGGGCCACTTGAGACGCTGGGGGCTCTCCCGCCTGCGCCAAACATGGTCAGGATCGGGGCGGTGGTGGTGTTCGTGTGCATGGACAAGTGTGTGAGTGTTGTGCGAGCGCGAGTGGGTGTGATGACGGCGGCGACCGATGGTCATGGTGGGATGCTCACAGTGGTAATGATGTCTTGATGGTTGCAATGGGTGTGAAAGAGGGCTGGGGGGAGGAGAGAGCTGTCCAGGATGTTTAGAGTAAACAGGAACTGCACTTTGTACGTGGAGAAAAGATGGGATGACAAACCAACCTTGGGACAGCGATAACACCGGTGTCCGTTGTTCGGTCGGTTCGGCTGCCTCGCAGTCGTTTGCGTTCGGTCTGTTCGGTTCGGCCGATTGTCGTATCGCTGCTGCGTCGCTGCGCCCTCCTAGGCTGCCTGCGGTCGGCGTCGGTCGGTTTCGGTTTCGCTGTCGTTTCGGTCGGTTTTCGTGTGTGTGTGTGTGAGTGTGTGTGTGTCTGGATGTGTGGATGTGCGTGTGTGTGTGTGTGTGAATGTGTGTGTATGTGCGTGATTGCGTGTGTGCGCACGTGTGTGAGTGTGTGAGTGTGTGTGTGTGTGTGTGCGTGCGTGTGTGCGTGTGTGCGCGTGTGTGTGAGTTTGTGTGTGTGTTTGTGGGTGTTTGTGTGTGTGTGTGTGTGTCTGTGTGTGTGTCTGTGTGTCTGTGTGAATATGTGTGAACATGTGTGTGAAAGAGTGTGTGTGTGACTGTGTGTGTCTGTGTGTGTTTGTGTGTGTTTGTGTGTATGTGTCTGTTTGTGTGTGTGTGTCTGTGTGTGTGTCTGTGTGTCTGTGTGTGTGTGTCTGTTTGTGTCTGTGTGTGCATGTGTGTGTCTGTGCGTGTTTGTGTGTGTGTGTGTCTGTGTGTGTGCGTGTGTCTGCGTGTGTCTGTGTGTGTGTCTGTGTGTCGCTGTGTGTCTCTGTGTGTGTCTCTGTGTTCTGTGTGTGTGTGTCTGTGTGTGTGTCTGTGTGTGTGTCTGTGTGTGTGTCTCTTTGTGTCTCTGTGTGTGTCTGTGTGTGTCTGTGTGTCTCTGTGTGTCTCTGTGTGCCTCTGTGTGTCTCTGTGTGTCTCTGTGTGTCTCTGTGTGTCTCTGTGTGTCTCTGTGTGTCTCTGTGTGTCTCTGTGTGCTTCTGTGTGTCCCTGTGTGTTTTCGTGAGTCTGTGTGTGTCTCTGTGTGTCTCTGTTTCTCTGTGTGTCTCTGTGTGTCTCTGTGTGTGTCTCTGGTGTGTCTGTGTGTGTCTCCGTGTGTCTCAATGTGTCTCTGTGTGTCTCTGTGTGTCTCTGCGTGTGCCTGTGTGTGTCTCTGTGTGTCTCTGTGTGTCTCTGTGTGTCTCTGTGTGTCTCTGTGTGTCTCTGTGTGTCCCTGTGTGTCTGTGTTTGTCTCTGTGTGTCTCTGTGTGTCTCTGTGTGTCTCTGTGTGTCTCTGTTTGTCTCTGTGTGTCTCCGTGTGTCTCCGTGTGTCTCTGCGTGTCTCTGTGTGTCTCTGTGTGTCTCTGTGTGTCTCTGTGTTTCGCTGTGTGTCTCTGTGTGTCTCTGTGTATCTCTGTGAGTCTCTGTGTGTCTCTGTGTGTCTCTGTGTGTCTCCGTGTGTCTCTGTGTGTGTCTCTGTGTGTCCCCGTGTGTCTGTGTGTGTCTGTGTGTCTCTGTGTGTCTATGTGTGTCTCCGTGTGTCTCCGTGTGTCTCTGTGTGTCTCTGTGTGTCTCTGTGTGTCTCTGTGTGTCTCTGTGTGTCTCTGTGTGTCTCTGTGTGTCTCTGTGTGTCTCTGTGTGTTTCTGTGTCTCCCTGTGTGTCTCTGTGTGTGTGCGTGTGTGTGCGTGTGTGTGCGCGTGCGTGTGCGTGCGTGTGCGCGCGTGTGCGTGCGTGTGCGTGCGTGCGTGCGTGTGCGTGCTAGTGCGTGCGCGTGCGTGTGCGTGCGCGTGCGCGCGCGTGTGCGTGCG